CCCTACACCTATAATTACACATTCTTTATAATGACATAAATCCTACTTTAAGGCTTAGACTTCATCACCCAGGGAGAGACTCCAACATACCTTTGCTTCTTCTAACATTTCTTGTGTTTCTTCTTGAGAATGGCTAATGAAAACATCACCAATCTGATAAGGTATCATTAAGCAGTCATCGTCTGCAAGCATGATATCCTCACAAGCATCTTCTAAATTCTGGAGTTGTTTCTGTAAATACAAAAGTGAACAGCAATGAAGAATGTATTCAAAATTCCCTAATAGAGGCTAAAAGCCAATTTTAATTTGGGGACCTCAACTCTTTGAGGGACTCTTTCACATAGGTATCATCACATTAAAATAAGTTTCTTACATTTTTAGATAGCATTTCATAAGGAAACACGTAGCTCACTAACACACTGTCCTTTAGATAGTTCCAGATTGCTGTAAGCCCCCTGTGGCGGACAGTGGAGGTATCCATGGCCACTCAAAATGTCTCCTACTTTGCTTCCCACCTTGTGGCTTCTGCCTTCTTATAGTAAAATAAAAACACGAACACAAACACAAACCTGCATTTCTCAGCTTTGCTTGAAGATAGGATGAAAGCAAATAATAGCATAAATTCCACTAATCAAAGACACCTGAACTGGACTTCAACCCAGGACAGCTGCATGAGAAGAGGCTGGGCACAAGCCTCTGACACACAGGCTTGGGCCCGGCAGCAGCCCAGCGTTCCAAGGACCGAGGGGCAGCGTCCCCATGGTGGAGGGGACAGCTGGCTCTGGGATCAGTGGCGACAACAGCAGCTCCATCACCAGCCAAGTTCTCTGGTTCTGGGACCTGCTCCTAGACCCTCAGCCGAGGGTCACACCCCTCAACAATCTGTACGCTATCTCACCTCCCTTAAACAACATCTTCCTTCTTAAACTCACTAGAGTGTATTTTGTCATCTACAACAAAGAGCCCAGACAGATATAATCACATATTACTGAATTTAGTTTTAAAAAGCTATAGCATGAAGAACTTTTATTTTTCTTAAATAAGATCTGTATTTTCAATACCTTTTTTACTTCTATTTCCTCCTTCAGCTCTGTAATTCTACTTGTATTCCGTGCAAATTTGTTTATCTTTTGTTGATCTTCAAAAGTAACGTTGACATCTTCTGCAGCCTGAAAAAACATATACATTGTTTTGTAGAGTTAATTTTAATGGAGAAGTTACAGGTTAGCTTTTAATATAACTCTGAAATAGCCCAATAAACTACTTGCCCTCAGAGTCCAGAATCACGAGAGGTACAGAATATCACAAACACAGGCCTTACTAAGTTTCTGCTCCACAAGCTTAAGATTTGTTCATAAATCTATAACCTCTTCTTATATGCTATGGAGTAATGCCTAAGGTGCAAAAACACTTCAAATATAAATAACAATTAAGAATAAGTCCTGAATCGACACAGAGCAAAACTGCACTACCTTTAAAACTATTTTCCACCAGCCTCCACAGCTGAGGGTTGTACCAGAAAATCAGAAACAGGGAAGAAATCTTGAGAGAAACTCTCCAGGGACTGCAGGCTTTGTAATAAGGAAGTGACAAGAACAGGAGTGTACCCATTTCTGGAGATAAATATAACTCAATACAAACTCTTTTGAGCTGTATGGCACAAAACAAAAACCCATGGGAAAAAAAAAAAAAAAAGAATAAGTCCTGAATCAAGTCAGTCAACTTTTGGCCTAGAGCAGAATTTTTTAAGACAGCCCAGGGAACAAAAGTGATGTGATAATTAATTTTGGTAAATGCCTCAGACTAGTTTATTCTCTCACAGTTAAAACTTGCTTAAGTTTATTGAGGCTATCAGAAGTCTATTTCTATAATTTTTAATCTAAATGATACACTGGCTTGAGGGTCACTATGCATTTCAGTGACTATATTCCACACACACATAGTAAAAATTATGCTTAATGCAGAACTTGTTTATGTGTCTTAATTATGAATGAGGTGTAATTCACTGTAAAATGATAAAAATTGACTATTTTTAAACTGTGATTAAACTTGTAAATAAAATTAGACTACTTAGACAACAAAGTATCTATGAAACCATATAAATAACAGCTAACATTTACTGAGCATTTATTATGTACCAAGAACTTTCTAAGTACTTTATTATCTCTGCTAATCCTCCAATCAGTCTTATTAAGTAGGATCATTAGTACCACTGTTCTACCGATGGAGAAAGCATGGCACAGAGAGGTTAAATAATTTGCCCAAAGCCACATAGCAAGTAAGTGGTAAAGCTTGGTTTCAACCCAGGTAATCTGGCACCAGAGTCCAGACAGGCCCATGAGCTCTTGGAAATTAAAGGCAATAGTGTGTGTGTGTGTGTGCGCGTGTGTGTGTGTGCATGCGTGTGTGTTTATACACGCAATCATGGATATCTAGAAGAGGAGCAGGAAGTCCTTGGTTTTAATCAGATTCTCAAAGGGGGACCTTTATTTTTTTTTTTTGGTTCCTTCCCCTTTTCATTTTTTTTTTAAATTTTATATTGGAATATAGTTGATTAACAAGGGACTATATATATATATAT